TATATTGTAGTCCAGTTGTAATAATACTTCTGCACTGACAGATTGCAGCTCTGTATACAGGCATTGAGCCTTGGAAGATGTAATTTACAGAGAGTATGATTGCCTTCAGAAAGCCCTGTGCATATCTTGCCATCTGATAAACCAGGCAGTTGCCTTTTAATGACATAGGCATAACAGACACAGAGTTTGTGTACCTATAGCTGTACTCACAGTAATTTTTGGTAGATTGTCAAAGAGCTTGACCGGGGGATGTGGTTGACATTCTTTTCCTCCTGCTGCTGATGTTATCTTGTGTGTGATTTTGTTCTCTGTTGCAGAACTTCCCCTGGGCAGTTTGGTGCAGATGCGAAGTGTTCAGATACCATCATAGCTTGTAAGGGAGTTTGGCGTGAGGGGTTGGTTGCTGTTCTTATTGTGTATCAGGTGGTAAGTGGCAGGGTGGGGTTTTGAGCAGGCCATCTGGAAGGGGTAAAACCCAGGGCACTCTGCAGAGGATGGGGAAAAGGCACCAAAGTAGAATGTAGGAGTTTGGCATATTTTTGGGTTTCTAAACATCTTCCATCCTTTCTCTCCATTCCTTGTGCTAAATTTTGGGGCGTGTCCTTGAACTGACTTTAAGGACAGCATTCCTGGGGGCATTAGATGTCCTGTAGACTCTATGGAATGAGTTTGGTTTTCTTTTGCCTTTTTTCTACATCATTGTTTTCTGTGCCAAGTGCATTTGCAGATGGAACACAGAGTGGCAGTTTTCTAGCAAGATAGTTTAATTACATCCGAGAGCTTGTAATCATAAGCTTTGGTGGGACAGACTATGAAAATGCAGTGTAAATGGTGCATACAAATTGAATTGACCTCTAACTGTAATAAAAGAACAAGATTAATTGCCTTATCCTAGATGCTACAAATTATTTACATTATGATTTTATATGACTGACTAATAAATTATAGGAAGGGAAGCAAGTTTAAAAAAAAGAACAAACAAAACAAAACGTCTATCCCATGTCATAGGTATATTTCATCTGCACATCTTAATTAAATATGTTTGAATTCATGAAAGCATTGTACTGACTTCAGCTTTTACCCAGCTAGAGAAATGCAAGGTAAAGGTAAACAATAAATGCTTTCAGAAAAGATTTTTTGCAAAAAAGACAACCCTTTTTTTTTCTTTGTTCAATTCTAGTCTGTGCTACAACTTTAATAGACCTTAAGGGGGAGGAGAATTTTCTGTATACTTCATATCTGCTGAATATCCAGCCTGTTCACTTTTTTGAGTTTAGCTTGTTCTATAGTACTCTGCTTTCACAGTTCCTGAAACTTCATATACAAACCACTACATAGATTTCTTCCATCATCTTTACCAAATGCAAATCAAAAAACATAGTTTGCCTATCACTTGCTTCTATAGAATGATGTTAATTGTAAGCACTGCTAAGAAACGTTAACATATTTTAACTATTATTGCCTCTTCATTTTAAAGATAAAACAAGAGTTCCCACCTTATTTTAAAGTTTATAAAGATGCCAAAAATCTACGTTAATCTTCAAGAGATTCTAATAAGCACCTTACATTATGGGAATTACATGATTTCCTAAATAATGTGAATTTCATGTTTGTTTGGGTTTTGGTTTTGCTTTTTGGGTTTTTTTTTCTATTTAGAAGTAAAGTTTCATGTAGCTTAAAGTAGACAGTATGGTAAAAAAATTTTGTTCTAGTGTTTAATGCAGTGTGGCATTACTGTGTCTTTGGAAATATGATTGGATGGAAACAGCTGAGAAAATACTGCAAGTTCAACATAGTTTGGGGGGCATTTTAAACTAAATGTGGAATGAAACGAAAAGCGTAACTATATATTTACATTAAGTTCTTAAGGTTCTAATGAATTACAGTTGAAAAAAGTGGTTTTTTTTTCAGATAAGGCTTTGGGTATCTGTCAGAAACGTAAAGCTCTTAAGTCTACTCTATTCATGGGATTTCTGTAATTATCTGCCAATATTCTATATATGTTATCTAAAACACAAATTATTCCCATAAGCATGAATACAATCTGGATCTGAATGTCCGATAGTCTTATCTCGAACATACTAAATTTATTTTTCTACAGTAATAAAAATAATTACTTGAAGCTCAGGGCTATGAAAATGGAGGGTAAAATGAAATATTGCTTAAGTTACAGGGAGTCATGTTTTGAGGTCCTGTTCTAAAGCAGAGGAATTAGTGGCTGAGTTGCAGATGATGTTTTTACTTCAACACATTAGTATTATAGAAGTAGAGACAGTAGATAAGGGATGGGAAAAACCACAACTCAAAGGATATGTAATTTGTTTTTAAAAACATGTACTTCTCAAATATCTTGAAATTTGAATCAGTATCTAGAATGACACAGAACTCTTCTGAAATAATTTTTTAAATTCTGTGTTTTTAAAAGATGTTGTGTAGGGATAAGAAAATACCAGAGGTTGGTGAGAAGAATGTTGAACTATGGATAAATGCCGATTTGAACTAGTCTAACATTTTGTAGCTGCACTTTTGTCTTGGAGGAAGAAATGTAAAGTATTCATTAATCATGTTATATTTGAAGGTGCTTTTTTTAGAATCTAGTATCTTATGAAAGCCCATGTAGCGGTGTGTAGAATCTAGTATCTTATGAAAGCCCATGTAGTGGTGTGTGCATACAGTAAGAGTTTCTGTGTTAACATTTTAGTCACCTTTACTTGAAATTTGAATCAGTATCTAGAATGACACAGAACTCTTCTGAAATAATTTTTTAAATTCTGTGTTTTTAAAAGATGTTGTGTAGGGATAAGAAAATACCAGAGGTTGGTGAGAAGAATGTTGAACTATGGATAAATGCTGATTTGAACTAGTCTAACATTTTGTAGCTGCACTTTTGTCTTGGAGGAAGAAATGTAAAGTATTCATTAATCATGTTATATTTGAAGGTGCTTTTTTTAGAATCTAGTATCTTATGAAAGCCCATGTAGCGGTGTGTGCAAAGTCAGTATAAACACGCCTGCCCCAACCGAAACAGCAGCTAGTAATCTCAGTGTTATAAACTTCATATTTTAAAAGAAGCACCCCAAACAGTGTTAAAGGGTGAATGATTTTAATGATATGAAAATATTTCAAATTTATAGATCTACTGATGCAAAAGAATTGTCTTGCACTACCAAAGAGCGTGAATGATTTCCACTATTTTTGAAATTCCTACACCATGTTACTCAAAGTTTGTGTAGTAATTTTTCCTTTGGAGATGTACCTTTTAAGAGCTTACAAATAATTTGACCTTTTATTGTATTTTGCTTTTGTTTTATTGTTCCTTTCTTCTTCCTAATATCCGTCTCTAAAGTCTAGGGCTAAATTGTAGAACTTGTTCTTAAGGTACTTTTCTCCTTTTCACACCCCAACATAATTTAAGGAACTATGTTGCTGTCACTCATTTGACTGTTGTTATTGCTCAGGGGACACTAATAGAAAAAAGATAAGGCTTGCTAGAATTCCAGTCACTGAATACTGAGACTATTTCTTAAGTAAAAGTGTCATCAAAACTATTCTGTTGAATCTATTGTAGGAGGAAAAGGGCCTTGGGGGCTTTTGGCTTTTTGGTTTGGGGTTTTTCGGGGTTGTGTGGGATTTTTTTTGTTTCGTTTGGCTTCGGTGAGAGCTCAGACAATTAACAGAACGAGGAGGAAGGAAAAGCTAGATTTGGTACTTTAACTTTTAGTTGCATAAGGAGTTCCCTTTTCATGCAAATGCCTACTTACTAGTTCATTATTGCTAAATTGTATCTTCCTTCAAGAAATCACATTTTGTTCTGTACAGCACGTGTCAATCAAAGCCTTAGAATCGTATCGGAGTACAAATGGAGCATATTTATGTGACTGGATGTTGAGGCAATTCACATATTCAAATAACAGACACAGAATACTTAACTGCCCTGCAAAGCAGAATCCCAAGTACCATACAAAGCTCTGAAATTGCACCCATCATTTCTCATATTTCAAATTTGACAAGACTTTTGGCCTTCATCTTATTACATAAACTAACCGATCTCTCCTGGCTGAGCAGTCATTACAAGATGAGGAGATTTGCGTTCCCGATTTTTCCATTTCACCTTTCCCTGACACATCCTGCATCCCTGCTGCAGGAACAAAATACTATTTATAAGCATAGCAAAGCTAAGCCTCTTAGACAGTTAAAAGGAAAAGGAAAATGCATCCATCCTTATACTGTCCAATAAATAGGAGATAGTTGGTGAGAAGGACACACATTGAAAAGGTTCAGGAGTAAGACAATCTGACAGTATGTGATGTATCGCCGACTTTAAAAGTGTCTTTTTGTCTCATTATTATGTAATTCAAGACCAGATAGTCTAATGTTCAATAGCTGTATTTGAAAGACAGTTCTTTTTCTGAAAAACTTCACATCCCATTAAGCATAATTAAAGCTGGATGAACAGAAACAAGGTGGTGAATAAGTGATTGAAATGTAGTTGTTTATATTTTTGCTACAATGCACAGAAGTACTTATAAATATTTTTCCAAAAATGTAAACTGAGAAGTTTGCTGAGATTCCAGTGTTCTTACCTGCCCTTCTGCTTGCCTCTGCATCCTGACAAAAGTTGTGTTTCTCTGGACATCCTTTCTCTTACATCAGTTTTGCAACTGAAAACAATTCCTTCCAAAGTGTTTGATCCTAATTATGTCTGACAGTTGGGAACACATTAAAAATATTTTGAAAATTAGTTCTTTATTTTGATGTCTTAATTGGAGGGATGTCTGTAAGTGTTGGTTTTCTTATCAATGAATTGCGGTACAATACGCAAATCATTTTGGTTTAATATTTGAATGTTTATAAAGTACTTTGGTATCTTGTCAGTGGCTTTTTGAGTAATAATAATAATACTGGATGTACGATAAATAATTTCTCTTTAAAGATAAAATGAGCTAAATGGGTGTAAAATACAAATAAAACTAATTAGGCATACTGTTTCTTTTCTAGTGAACAAACACAAGCCCTGGATTGAGACATCATACCATGGAATCATAACTGAAAACAATGACACTGTAATTTTGGATCCTCCCCTTGTTGCTTTGGACAAAGATGCACCCGTTCCCTTTGCAGGTAGGAACATATATTAACAGCAGCATTTGAATTTATGGATTGCGGTATGAAGTTATTAGCATTTGTAAGGAATTAATTTGCAGTGCAGAGATAATATAATCTGAAGGACATATTTAGAGGCTGTATCCGAGTACTCGGGACTTGACCATTGGCCCCCAGACCTTGAAATGAGGTGTCTTTTGCAATGACTGTATCTGCTCATTTGTTGTGAAGTAGAAGTGATTATAAACAGCATAATGCAGCTTCCACTATCTACAAATTCTAAAATGAAAACACAAGAATTGCATAATTAAATTTGAATTAGTTTTCATAGAAATGAATCATTACAATTGCCTAAAGTAATAATATGTAATTAAATTTGTTTAGTAATAACCATCTCTCTTCCTGTTCTGCTCCCTGGCCCAAGCCTGGCTATGGACAAATTATGGCACAAATATTTAAAGTTGCTAAAATTTTATGTTACTGTTTTTGTACTTCATAACTGTCAAGACTTGGACAGAAAATTTAATGGAGGTTTTGAAGTTTTTTGCTCAGATTGCTGTATGATAGATGTATGTTATATAGAAGTTTTTACTTGTATTAAGTCTATTTTTCAAGACACTTACTCTGACATATTATGACTTCCTTAAGCTGAAAATAGTACTTCTGCATGTCAGGAAAGTTTTCTCTTAAATTCCCTGTTTCATTAAAAATACTTTTTGAAGAAAAGGGGGACTATTAAGGCTTGATAGATGTTCTCAAGACCCTAAAAAGATGCAGTTGTTAAAAAGATTGTATTGCTTAAGAATGTTCATCTTTTATAAGTAAAATGTATTTCATACATTTATTTACTAATTTATACCTACGTATTCCATATATATTTCTGTATCTTGCTAGTGAGAGTGTAGTCCTTTTGGAACCATGCTTAATTTGTAGAAGTAAGGGTGAGTAGGCCTTATGTTTATAGCCAAGGCAAGGAGACCTTCAGAAAGGAAGGGCAATAGTGTCTTGACAGACATTGTCATGTCTAAATGAGTGTGCTGGGGTCATGCACTGGAGACTATAAACCTCACTGAGGTTTTTTTTTGTCTCAAAATTGTCTGCATATGCTTTATAAAACAAAGTTAGTGTTGAAGTCTGGGATATCTGTAGATAGGCTAGCATTGTGGTCTCTAGGATTATAATGATGACAAGACATGCACTACCAATAGCAGATACCAGCAGACAATGAGGTTGCACTGTTCTTTCCATGCAGGAAAGCACAGGTCTGCTATACAGCCCTGGCTTAAAGGAACCAGGCAGGGCTGCTCGTACCACTTGCTGCGAAAGCTCCGAGTTCAGCAAGAGGACCCTGGAAGCCATGTAGGTTTTCCAGTTCTTAGCTATGTATTATCAGGGGTGCTTTGAGCAATGTACAGATAGATCACCTTGCTCCTGTCAATTGCCCTGGTGCACAGGTAGCTTATATATTTCATATTTTTTACCTGAGGAAATAATCTTTCACCTAATAACTACTCTGTTACTACATACAAAAGCAGAACTAAGCTATTAAGACACATTTGATACTCATTGATGTTTCTTTTCTGCTCCCAGTGCTTTGAGGTTTTTTTTTTGTTATACCCATTCTCATGTTCTCATTTTTTAGTTTAAATGTTTGTTGTGGTAAAGACCAACCCTAAGCGGTATTTTTGTTCTCTCTTCTGGAAACTTTAATGTTGTTCCCTAATGCCTGTGCCTTTTCTCCTCTCCATGACTACTAAAGTTAGTCTCTTATAAACTGTCTTCTCAACCTCTTCTAGTAGTACAGACATTATGGTGCATGTCAAATCGCTATTCGTGGAGTGGGAACAAGAGAAAATTACTATAATCTGCACTTTTTTTTTCTCGCCTTTGTCTAATGTTTAAAATGAAAGGTGATGACAGGAAAAAAAGGAATCTTCTGTGCAGTTTCCCTCTCAACAGGTCTGTGTTTCCAGGGTGGACTAAAGGGAAACTAACAGGACTAAATGCGCCTGTGAAAATGCTGGCTGTCAAATATGATCAGCCTATTTCATAACTGGAGCATGAAGAATTTCAGAACTCTTTTTTTTTCATTGCAATGATTTTGGCGTCTCTTTATCTTATTAATTTATTGTGAATTGTGCAATGATTGGAGTAGATGTAAAATCATGGTTCTTAAAATTATCATGGTATGAACATATTCAATTTCTCTTAAAAGAGAATTGTGTAGGTGCAGTATGGGCTTGCCTATTATGTAATTTAGGGAAATCCATTGGAGGAATCTCTCCTTTAAAAATTATACTAAAACCCACCCAAAAGAACAAATGTAACTTCAATTAGACTTGCACCAACCTGCAGGGTCAGCCATAGAACAGTATTTTACATACATTCAGCAGTCAGCTGTTACATGCTGGTTATGAGGCTGGAAACCACTTCAGGGATTTGACTTTCAGGCTTAGGAGTGGTTTGGCTAGAAACATGGTGAGATCAACTGAATCAATTTGACATGTTCTGTTTCTGTAATAGCAAGAAATCCTCACACAATGCTGTAGGATTTTGGAAGGCTATTTGGAAAGGACACCTGTCTGCATTTTAATAACAGCAACAGTCAGCAGTATTGTGCAAAAATAGATCTGAGAGGAACTTCAGCATATCTCCAGTACATCCTTCTGCCTTAGGCAGGACCCATTATACCTATGTCATTCCTGATAAATAGTTTTCTGTCCTAATCTTAAAAATCTTTAGTGACAGAGATGCAACAGCTACCCTGGGTAATCTATTCCCTGCTTCACCATACTCACTGTTTTTCATGATGCTTAACTTGAACTTTCTGTACTGCAGTTTTAGCCCATTAGTTTTTGTCCTATCCACCATGACTGGGCAGAGCAGATTATTCCCATTGCTTTTTTTGCATCAACAGCCTTTTATATTACTCCCTAAAAGCACTGTGAGCATTTTAAACAGCATGGGATGAGAGGGGACTTCAGCTGTCCATTGTGATACTGAAGCAGAGAAATAGGAGGTAGCTTTCAGAACAATGATATGATGAATGCACTTTTCACCTTAAAAGTGAAGAGCCTAACTCTTCACTGTGTCACAATTATTAGGCTGACACACTTGATTTGAGTGCAATGTGTCGCACCAAGGTTAAGCCGGATAATTTCACCACAGTGAATTGCGCCCATTAAGTCTTAAGCTGCTTTTATGCTCTTGATAGATTTACAGATAGCCTTTTTTAAAAGGGTCAGATGTGTGTCTTTCTGGCTCCACACAGAAGGTACTCTGTATCTCAGTAGCAGTTGCAAATTATATTTACTTTGCAGATGGAGTCCCAGTCTCTGACTATATTTTGGCTGGGCTAAGACCACTGTAAAGGGTAAGGAGATAATAAAACCAGACAAGAAGGATGTCTAAATATTCACTGAGCTACAAGCTGCATCCAAAACCTCTCCCAAATCATCTTTGTTATTTTTGCAGTTCAGAGGAGCGTGTATTCTCAGCTGCACCACAGCAAATCCTGTAGTTGTCAGTCTACTTACACCCAGGGACTGAACACAAAATCCCATTTCTCTGCTTCAAACTGTGAAGCTGTTTAGCTTTCTTGTTTGGTTGGTTTTATTGATAAGCAGTGGCAATAATAACAGAAACAATCCTTTTGGTACAACGTTAAAAATATGGAAATTATTCTTCCAATTTTAACTGTGAATACTGTTGTTTTTAACTTAGGCAGACTTAAAACATGCTGTCAGTTTACAATGCCCAGAATTCATCGATGTTAAATATTTCACTCTGATGCATTTTCAAAATATCTGAACAGTAAGTAAAGTTGAGTATTGCAGTTGTTTATAACAAATCACCTGTTGACTTTTTAAAAAACTTCTATTTTTGATGCTTAGATGTATTCATGTAACTTAATTAGTTAAGACTGTAGACTATAAAGGCAAAAAAAAAAAAATCTCTTAAAGGTGATAATAACCTAAGGTAGAATAAAAGATTGGCAATAGCACAGTCAATTCCAGAGATGCTGGTTTTGACCTAAGGGTTAGTGCTCATCGTCCAGTAAAGTTAGTGATAAATGCTCAGGCTTCAGATTAAGAATGCACCAAAAAAATCACTCTGACAGTGACCTCTGTTGGTTAGTCCCTGAAGTTCAGAGATGAGGTGTTGGAGGTGTTTTGTTCTTGAAGTTGTTGCCAGTTAAGTTTTATTGCCTCTCTTAGTCAGTTTGACAGCAGTAAAATAAAAGTAGGCCACATTAATGTCTTGAAAGAAGACTAAAGATTAAAGAATTCAGACTGTTCTAATAGAGCTTTTAGTAGCTGCTGAGTGGTCGGTCATTGCAGGAGTAAGTGGTTAAGAAGAAAATGAGACTTTAACACATGGACAGTGAATGTAAGTTGCTTCGGGCAGACACAAATAGTAATGAATGAGAACGTTGAGATAAACTTTGTTACACCTAAATGGGCTAAATTCCTCGAAGCCAGAAAGAAGCCAGTGAAGTAACCAACTAATTATGGTTTGATGATATTCCCTTGAGCTTTTAGACTTATTATGGAAAATATTGACGTTAAATTAGTTGGAACTGTTTTGAATAGTTTTCTTTATAAATAAGACTTGATCTTTGGAAATTTAGGGGAGGATATTGCTGTGGATATGCAAACATACACATGAGGTCAGGCATTTTATGGCATTTGATGGTGCTGAAGTATACTAAAGGACTATGTGATTAAAAAACTGTTTAATTGAAATAGGTTATAACTGAAGTTGCCAGGAAAACAGTGTCAGTTATTAACCTTCTGTGCTGTTCAGACACTAGAGATAAACTGAAATGGGAAGTACTGGAATTGCTAGGCCTGCAAGTCCCCAAATTGGTATCTGCTCTGACTGTATGTGAAGATTTTGTCACACACCTTCTTGGAAACTAATGAAGCCTCGCATTATGAGTACTTTTACATTTAATAAAAAAATACAAACTGTAACAATTTCCTCATGTTGTTATCATTAGAACTAGGGCTGGTGAT